AGAGGAAACGCCAGAGGGCGTGGCAATGGGAAGCCAAACGGTCATCAGGGGCAGGAAAAATCCAAGCCTGTGTTTCTCCTGAGAGAGGCTGTGCCAGAAACTGCAGGAAAGCGAGCCGAATGTGCGAATGTGCTTGCTGTAAACATTAATCATAGCAGAGAATACAGTGATGAATCACTGTGGCTACTGGACACAGGGAGTGCCGTCCACATTTGCAACAGTGCTGAATATTTTGTTGATCTGAATAAAGATGAGATGCCCAAACTGATCAAAGTTGATAATGAACCATTGAGAGTTGCTGGAACAGGAAAGATTTTTCTTAATGTGTTAAATTCTGCTGGCCAAATTCAGCAAATGACTTTAAATGATTGTGTATTTGTGCCTGAAGCTAGTACTTGTCTGATCTCCTCAAGGAGAATTATTGCTGCTGGTTTTAACATTAATCTTAAAAAGGGACAAGGAAAAATTTGGCACAAAGATGGAGTCGAGCTCATTATGGAAGAGCACGACAGTTACCATTATGTAAGAAATCTTGGCATAACTGAAAATGATGAACTGGACACAAGTGGACCTGTGTTTCACACAAAATCATCTGAATGTGAGCACAAAGACTGTTTATTTAAATGGCATGTGATGTTTGCTCACAGAAATTTACAAAGTGTGAGAAAGCTTCTGAAGGGCTGTAATATTGATGCTGTTGAATGCAATACTATTAGTAATGGTTGTGATACCTGTTTTAAGGCAAAAGGCAAAGCGCCTTGTTACAGAGGCAAAAATCCAGAACAAGATAAAGGTTTTCTAGAGACTGTGTACTCAGATCTTGTTGGCCCTATCAAACAATCTACTGGTGGTAGTAAATACTTTGTGACTTTTATGGAAGCAAAATCCAGATATGTCTATACCTACCTACTTAAAAGTAAAGACCAAGTACTTGACAAATTTAAGTGCTATGTTGCTGCTGTTAAAAATAAATTTGGCAAAGCGCCTGAAGTGTTATTCACTGACAATGGCACAGAGTATTGCAGCAGTGAGTTCCAAAGGTTCATGGAACAAGAAGGAATTGAACATCAAACAACTATTGTTTATTCTCCAGAACAAAATGGAACAGCGGAACGCTTAAACAGAACCATACTAGAAATGGCGCGTTCTATGCTAATACAATCTGGAATTTCAGAAGATATGTGGGGTGAAGCAGTCAATACAGCTACTTACCTGCACAATAGAGTTCCATCTAAAACTACAAATAAAATTCCTTTTCAATTATGGCATAACAGGATGCCTGGACTTAAACACATTAAAGCATTTGGATCTAAAGCCTATGCCCACATTCCAAAAGAGAAAAGGGGCAAATTAGAGCCAAGAGCAGAAATTGGTATCCTAGTGGGGTACGCTCAAGGAGGAAAAGGCTACCGAATTTTTGATTCTACAAACTGTGTAATTAGAGAATGCAATGTGGTACATGTTGATGAGAGTAACATCCTGCAAACTCCTAAGCCAGCTGAGTCCACAGCACAACCTGTCAATCAGGAATCTACAGATGTCTCTTTCTTTGATGTGATCACTTGGCAATCTGCAGAGACCACCTGTGACCAGGCAGGTCCATCTCCACAAGAGGATTCCACCTCAGAAGGGGAACAAGGGAATTCCACCTCAGAAGGGGAACCAGGAGAGGCAACGCCAAGGGTAAGAGAGACAACTGCTGTGAGACAATCAGCAAGGAGTACCAAAGGTGTTCCACCACCAATGTACGGAATTTGTGCAAGTGTGCAACAAATAAAGGAACCTACTAACTGGAAGGAAGTTAATCAACTACCTGCATCTGAAAGAAGCAAGTGGATTAATGCCATGGAAGAAGAATTTGCATCTTTGCAAGACAAACAAGTTTGGACTCTTACTGAGTTACCTTCAGAAAGAAAAGCCATCGGCTGTAAGTGGGTGTACAAAGTGAAGTATAACCCTGACGGCGAAGTGGACAAGTACAAAGCTCGTCTTGTCGCAAAAGGATTTTCTCAAAAATATGGAATCGATTTCTCGGAAACTTTTGCACCTGTTGTAAGCTACACAACCTTCAGAACACTTTTGAGCATAGCAGCCTCAAGGGGCATGCACATTGAACATTTGGACGTCAAAACTGCGTTTCTCAATGGAGAATTGAATGAAGAAATCTACATGGAACAACCAGAAGGATTTTCAACAAAAGGACAAGAAGGCCTAGTGTGCAAACTCAACAAAAGCGTTTATGGACTAAAGCAAGCAGCAAAAGCGTGGAATGAGAAACTGACTGAACTGTTACAAAAACAGAACTTTCAACAAGGAATAGCAGAACCGTGTTTGTTCTCAAGAATCAAAAATGGACAATATCAGTACATACTCATTTATGTTGATGACTTGATTATTTGTTGTGAAAATCAAGGAGATGTACAGGAAATAGCAGATGAACTAAACAAGGAAGTGGAAGTGAAACAATTGGGACCTATAAAACACTATCTTGGAATACAAATTGAAAGAACTGATGATGGAAGTTTTCTTCTAAGCCAAAAGCAAAAGATCATGGACTTTATTGAATCTGTAGGAATGAAACATTCCAAGCCAGTGAGCACACCTCTTGAAAAGGATTACCTCAAGAATACAGAGGGACCACTACTTCCAAATAACCACGAATACAGATCAGCAATAGGAAAATTATTGTATCTTAGCAAAATTTGTCGACCAGACATAACTTCAGCTGTTGGACTATTATGCAGAAAGACCAGCTCACCGACTATCCATGACTGGAAAGCTGTAAAAAGACTGGCAAGATACCTAAAAGGAACTTTGGATTACAAACTGAAAATCTCATCCTGTGATGAACCAAGACTGACTGGATTCATGGATGCCAACTGGGGAAAAGACACAACTGATGGAAAATCTACAAGTGGATACTTATTCTACTATGGAAACAGTTTAATTGACTGGACTAGTCAAAAGCAATCTGTTGTAGCGATCTCTACTGCAGAAGCTGAATGTGTATCAGCGCAAAGTGCCAGCTATGAACTGTACTGGATCATTCATCTACTGAAAGACTTTGGAATAGACGAACCGAAACCAATAATAATGTATGAGGACAATCAAGCTTGCATCGTTCTCTGCAAAGGTGAGAGCACCAAATCCAAGAGTAAGACCATTGCTCTTCAATGCAAATATGTGAAAGACTTACAAGACAAAGGACTCATTGAACTTCGTTACTGTCCTACTGACCAGATGACTGCCGACATCCTGACCAAGCCGCTTGACAAGCAACGTTTTGAGAATCTTCGTGAAAGTTTAAATTTGCATGATTTCAGTGTTATAACTTGAGAAGGGGTGTTGGAAGTTACAAGTTAGAACACTTCTATTCAGTATTTACTGAGTTAATATTGTGTTCTGAATCACATGTTTGTTTGTATCCTATCTGCTTAGAGAGTTAGAAAGCCCGCCAGATACAGATCTAGTTTGTTGTTCTGATTGGGGAATGGAGTGTTACTATTTAGCATTTTATGGCTCTTTGTCCCTGAGCAAGAAGAAGCTCCAGTCTCCATCTCTCCATTAGACCTTAGCCATGTAAGGAAGTCTCCATTAGTCTTAGAAAGATTTGAGGATGTAGAAATAAAGCTCTTTGTTATTTTACCTCCTGTTTACCCTACCCTTGATAGGTTGTTAGTAAACTTTTATATTTTTAAAACTACCATGGACTCAGACTCATTTTTACTCTGCTAAACTCTGCTGAATTAAGAAATTAAGAAATTAAATACTAAACCATCTAACAAGAGGTCACTTGGGATGCTGCGGCAACCGCAGAACAGAAGGCGGGAAAGGGAAACGACTCGATCCCTTTGTCTCGTCTGCCTTCTGATTTACGCACCGTTTTCTCGGTTTCCCGCAGTGTGGCGAGGCCGAGGGGACACGGAGGGGGAGGGGGAAGAGCCGCCCCACCGCGCGGAGGGAAAGGGAGGCAAGCGGGCGGGGGGGGGGCTCTGTCGACTCGCCGAGGAAACGAAACGAGCGCCCCGTTTCGCTTTGCTGTGAGCCTGCCCGGGACCGCCTAAGAGGCAGAGAGAGCTCGTTTCGGTGCCCCTTGAGGTCAACCAGAAAGCGGCCGAGCCAGGCCGCTTAGAATAAATGCTTTCGCTGGGCTAGATCGGGCGCAACTCGCTTAGGATCCGGATAGCAAGAAAAGAGTTATGCTTTCGGCCAGCAAAACTTGGCGCAGCTTGGCCATGAGTCCAACGTCCACCTAATCCGCCCATTGTTTCAAGAACGACCACCCAATAAATCTTCGGATCTCGATCCAAAAGTTCCTTGAGCCCTTTGGTCGATTTCAAGGGAGCAGGGTTAGTAGTACCCCCCCCCCTGACTGCTTCACCGCTCCCTTTGAAATCCACGGACTGGACTTGGGCCGGACTGTGATTTTTTGGGGGGCCCAGTTACACGGCCAGAAGACCTCCAGTCCAGGGACCGCGATCCAGAAAGCTGTGGGGCCAGCCCCCCCCCCCCAGCTTCTCTCCTGGGTAGGGCGACGAGGTCCTGAATGAAGGGCACGCATATTTTGCACATCACATTCGTAGTGGCGATGAGCTATTATTATTATTATTATTATTATTATTATTATTATTATTAGTAGTAGTAGTAGTAGTAGTAGTAGTAGTAGTAGTAGTAGTAGTAGTATGCTTTTATTATTTTAAAAGCAGTCCCAATTCGAAGTCTCGCCGTTCCAGAAATCCAATTCGAAGGTGGTCCCGAGGTAATACGCTCGAATGACGTAAATTTAAAATCCCTAAAATGGAAGCCCCCCCTTTTTTGGGCTGCGGGAAGCCGCCGGCCTTCGCGGAATCGACCCAAGCTCTGCGGTGAGCAGAGGGAGGCAGGAAGCGGCGAGTGAGCGGGACGGGGCGGAAGGCCAGCACGCCGCCGCCGCCAGGGTCCGTGCTTCGCTGGGAGGGCGCGCGTGGGGGGGGGTGATTAATCCTCACATTTCCCCCCAGGACAAGGCCACCTCTCAGCGCTCCTGCTCGGAAGTCAGTTTCACCGGGGAGACTGGGGTCGAGGCCGGCGTGGATTCGACCCTTTTCCCTTTCGCCAAGGCAGGTGACCCGGCGACCTAGCTCCGCGGGAGGGGGGTCTCTGGAGAGCCGCTTTGTCCCGACGACTTTGCGCCTGCTGCAGGACGACGAGGAGTCCTCGAGAAGGAAGTTTCTTTTCGTTTTGCTCCTTGGATCCAAACCGCTCCAAAAATCAAAACCAGGAAAGAAAATATCGCCTCCCCGGGAGACAACCTCACCGCTGATTTCGGAAAGATGCGCGTCCTGATGCGCTTGCACGGTCCACGCAGCAAGAGTTGGCACCCATCACCCTAACCCTAACCGCTCCCCCTGTCCCGGTGGTGGGAAGCCTGGGGAAGTGGTCGCTACTCCCCGCCGCCCCCGTCTTCTGCTCTCCGCCGAGAGCGAAGCTGCGGAGGTGGGAGTCCCGCCGCTCCAAGGGCCCCTCCGGGGCTCACTGGCAGGACCTCGGCAAAGCCTCAACCCTCGACCCCTGCCGGCTTTCTCCGCAGTCCGTCCTCCGTATCCCTTCTCCGACGTGAGTCCCCCTGAACTCAGCCGCAGCGAGTGGCATAAATCCGGGTCGAGCGGCTACCGATCCGGGGCCCTCGCCAGTGCGATCCTTCGCAAGTCCAGAAGAGCTCCCAGGCCATCCCTACAC